GAAAAACTTGTTTTCACAGGTAAGGACAATGGACAAAACTAAAAGTCATCCCTCTGCACACCAGAGACAAAAGCATATCTGATTGCTTCCTGTACTCTATGTTTATTTATCTTACGTAAAAATGCAGATTCACTGAGTGTAAGATGAATGCATAATTGAGTATTCCTCTATTCTTTTCTTTCCCTATATAAGATGTGGATTTCGTGAACGCTGATCAAAGACTCAGAGGAACACGACTGCTTGGCTCTTCAATTTGCTCTCCCTCCCCACTTGTTTTTTTTTTTGCCTTCCCCTACTGCCCACTCTTTCCCCTTTATTAATTTATTTACTTATTTATTTAAGATGGAGTCTTGCTCTGTTGACCAGGCTGCAGTGCAGTGGTGCAATCTCAGCTCACTGCAGCCTCTGCCTCCTGGATTCAAGCAATTCTCCTGCCTCAGCCTCCCAAATAGTTGGGATTACAGGTGTGCCACCACGACCAGCTAATTTTTGTATTTTTAGTAGAGACAGGGTTTCACCATGTTGGCCAGGCTGGTCTCAAACTCCTGACCTTAGGTGATCCACCTGCCTCAGCCACCCAAAGTGCTGGGATTACAGGTGTGAGCCACTGCGCCCAGCTAGGATACCCTGTCTTTAAGAAAAATTTTTAAAGTGTTTTTTCTTTTTTAAAATATATTTTTTCTGTTTTGAGACAGAACCTCCATCTGTCTCCCAGGCTGGAATGCAATGGCATGATCTCGGCTCACTGAAACCTCTGCCTCCCAGGTTCAAGCAATTTCCCGGCCTCAGCCTCTTGAGTAGCTGGGATTACAGGTGTGTGCCACCACGCCTGGCTAATTTTTATATTTTTAGTAGAAGTGGAGTTTCACCATATTGGCCCAGCTGGTCTCAAACTCTTGACCTCAGGTGATTCGCCTGCCTCAGCCTGCTAAGGTGCTGGGATTACAGGCATAGGTCACTGCATCCGGCAAAAAGTAGATTTTAAATGTTCTCATTACAGAAAAGTGATTCATTTGTGAGATGATGGATGTGTTAATTAGCTTGACATTATCATTCCGCAATGTATACATAGATCAAAACATCACACTGTGCCCCATAAACATATAGAATTATTATGTCCACTAAAATAAAAAAAAGTATCTCTTAGGAAATAAACATTAACAAGAAGTCCCAAACTTGTAATTTTACCTCTTTGAGCCTCAACTTCTTCACCGGATACAGAAAGAGGATAACTGCACTTTCCAGTCCTCCGGAGCTGTAAGAATCCCTCAGCAGAGCGGCTGTCCACGGGGCTGCTATTGTTATTGCCATCAAGCAGTAGGAATCGGAATTGAGCGAACCGCCTCACACCACAGGGGTTACTTTTTCACCACACCCAGCATTTTTTTTTTTTTTTTTTTTTTTAGTGATGGGGCCTCACTATGATGCCCAGGCTGGTCTTGAACTCCTGGGCTCAAGCAATCCACCTTCCTTGGCCTCCCAGATTGCTGAGATTACAGGCGTGAGCCACCTCGCCCAGCCATGCCTGCAGGTCACTTTTACCCAATTATTACTCTACATGTTCCGGGGGTGAGGCCCACAACATTGTGCTTATGGAACTATGAGGGGGATTCGTTTCCAGATAGTTGCAGTTTGCCTAAAGTCTGACAGCCAGGACTCCAGTTCAGGCCCTTGCATGCAAATGCACTGATAACTTCTGTCACAGTGGGGAGAAGGGAGAAGCTCTTTCTGCTCTCCCTCACCAGGGAAGGTGTTTCTGGGACCCAGGAGCAGGTGTCTAAGTAGAAGTGTAGCAAGGGCTGAGGAGAAGTACAGAAAAATAGTTTAAGACACACTTGTGGCCAGGTGGGGTGGCTCATGCCTGTAATCCCAGCACTTTGGGAGGCCAGGGTGGGAGGAACACCTGAGGTCAAGAGTTCGAGACCAGCCTGACCAACATGGTGAAACCCCATCTTTACTAAAAATACAAGTTAGCTGGGCATGGTGGTGGGCACCTGTAATCACACCTACTTGGGAGGCTGAGGTAGGAGAATCACTTGAACCCGGGAGGCAGAGGTTGCAGTGAGCTGAGATAGCACCATTGTACTCCAGCCTGGGCAACAAGAGTGAAACTCCTTCTCAAGGGGGAAAAAAAGACCCCCAAAATGTCTAGCCAAGATCAAAATAACTGAAACCTTTTTGGACCAGAAATAAGCAAAACTGTTGATTGGGTGGGTATCCGGACCTGCGTGGGGCCAAGGGAGGCCCTGGTTTGGGAGGCCAAGGGGGCCAAGGGAGAACTGGATGCTTCTCTATTGTGAGGCAGCTGGAAGTAAAAGCTGGACGACCTCCTTGGAGATGAACAGAGCCTGCAACCTGACAGCTCCAATCCTAGGATACACCTAGAGAAATCTCTCACACGAGCCACTACCGGAGTGTACTGCTGGAGTATATATGGCAGCATTGATTGTACAAGTGAAAAACGAAAACAGCCTAAATGCTCAACAGGAAAAGGATAGTGGTGTATCCACATCAAGCAACATATTCCAGCAGTTAATGTGGATGAACTAGAACTTCAGGTATCGCTGGGCGCCGGTGGCTCATACCTGTAATCCCAGCACTTTGGGAGGCTGAGGTGGGAGGATCGCTTGAGCCCAGGAGGTCAAGACCAGCCTGGCCAATATGGCGAAACCCCATCTCTACTAAAAATACAAATTAGCCAGGCATGGTGCTGCTCGCCTGTAGTCCCAGCTACTTGGGAGGTGGAGGTAAGAGAATTGCAGACCCAGGGCATTCAGAGAAATAAACAAAGTAATTTCTTTCTTTCTTTCTTTTTTCTCTGTCTTTATTTTTGAGACAGAGTCTCACTCTGGTGCCCAGGTTGGAGTGCAGTGGTGCCATCATAGCTCTTTGCAGCCTCAAACACCTGGGGTCAAACAATCCCCCCACCTCAGCCTCCTAGGTAGCTGGGATTACGGGCACATGCCACCCGGCTGATTTTAACAACATCTCAAGGGGCTGCACCCGACAGGCAAGGCAGAGGCTCCGCTGGGGCCTGCTGAGAGTCCGGCTCCGGAAAGCCAGTGGAGGTGCTCCTTGAAGAAACCGCGGAATCCCACCCATCTCAGGGGCTCTGTCCTGGCCTGCGGCCCTGGATCATCCACCCTGGGGCGGGGTGGGGAGCAGACCTCGCCCTTCTTGGCTGGGACTGAGGGTCCCGCTTCCCCAAAGACCTAGGCCGGGGTTCCCAGCCGCCGCCCCAATGGGCAGCGCCCGGCCCCGCCCACACCCCCGAGGCCTGGCACTCACCCTCAACCAAGATGGCGCGGACGGCATCAGTACGTCACGCGACCCGCCCGCCGGGCTCCTACTGCGCTGCTCTTAGCTGGGCAGTTGGAGGCCGAGCGGCGGAGCGGGAAGCAGGACCTGGCGCCGGTGGTGGCCAGGGCGGCGCTTGGGCCGCTGTTGTGAGGCTGCGCGCTGGCGCCGCAGGGCGGGATGCTGTACCCCCGGGAGAGCCTGTCACAGGAGTGCAAGGAGCTGGACGGCCTCTGGAGCTTCCGCGCCGACTTCTCCGACAACCCGCGCCGGGGCTTCAAGGAATAGCGGTGGCCAATGCGGAACGTGAGGGTCCGGGGCAGGACCTGGAGGTGCCCGGAAGCCCAGCGGAATGAGTTGGGGAGTCCGGGCCCCCGGCAGGCTCCTTCCCCGGGCATCCCGCAGTTGGGGGCCCCTCCGGTTTAAGGTGAAGAGGCTTGGGGGTTCGGGATTGGAGGACTGGGGACCGAGCGGAGGAGGTGGGAGGAGCTCAGCTCCAGCTGAGTCCCCTCCGGAGGCCAAGACTGAGCCCGGGCAGTGTCCTTGTTTTTACTGTTTATTTTTAATTTTTAAAATTTGTTTGAGGCTGGGTTTGGTCCTGTCACCCAGGCTGTAGCGCAGTGGCGCCATCCTAACTTCTGAGCTCAAACGATCCTCCCACCCCAGCCTTGCAAGTTAGTTAGCTGGGGTCCCCACGCCTGGCTAATTAAAAAAAAAAAAAAAAAACCTTTTCTTTTCTTTTCTCTTTTCTTTTTTCTTTTCCTTTCTTTTCTTTTCTTTTTTTTTCTTTTCTTTTCTTTTCTTCTTTGTAGATATAGGGTCTCACTACGTTGCCCAGGCTGGTCTCGAACTCCTGGCCTCTAGCCATCCTCTTATGTTGACCTTCCAAAGCACTGATTACAGGCATGAGCCATCCAGACACTTGTCCAGCCAGTCTGGCCAGAGCGGCATGCACTGCCATAGAGCGGAGCTCGGGGATTAGGAGGAGGGGACACTTTAGACATCCTGAGGTCAGCTCTGCTTAGGCAGGAAGGTACCTGCCCTGCCTGGGTCGACCCCTCTGGGCACATAGACCATGACCCTGGGCCTCCCTTCACCTCCAGGAGCTCACTGGCGAAACCACAGGAAAGGTGCACACGGGATGCTTCCGGAATGACCAGATGCCTCTTGCGCCTCCATCCCCCTGCTCCGTGCTGTCCCAACCTTGGACTTTAACTGTCCCCCCAGGGGGCAGTTAAAGCTCAGCAGCGGTCCTGGCTCCCCAGGGAGGCAACATGCCATGGACCTCAGGCTGTGGATGCGGCAGACCTGCTCCACACTCTCAGGCCTCCTGTGGGAGCTCATCAGGACCATGGTTTTTCGGGCAGAGGCGTAAGTCCCCCAGGGACACTCAGGGGGCAGAGAGTGGTGTGATGGCAGCCTGAACAGCAGACCTAGGTGGCAGGGGTGAGCAGGGTGGGAGGAGCTCTTGTGTGAGTCCCAGCGATACATTTTTATTTTAAGACAGAGTCTCACTTTGTTGCCCAGGCTGGAGTGCAGTGGCACAATCTTGGCTCACTGCAACCTCTGCCTCTGGGTTCAAGCAGTTCCTGTCTCAGCCTCCTGAGTAGCTGGCACGTGCCACCAGACCTGGCTAATTTTTGTATTTTTAGTAGAGAGAGACTGGGTTTCACTGTATTGGTCAGGCTGGTCTTGAACTCCTGACCTCAAGTGATCTGCCTGCCTCAGTCTCTCAAAGTGCTGGGATTAAAGGCATGAGCCACTGCGCCCAGCACCCCAGCTATTTCTGAGGTCCTCAAACAAAACCTCCCCTGGCCAAGTCATACCCAACACGGGCCTCCTCCCCTGTTCTGCCCCCGCTCAGAGATGCCGAGTGACAGAGGCTCAGGCTTTGCATGTTCCTGTCAAAGCCTCACCCCAGGAGGCCCCGCAGCTCAGGCCAGTCCTTGGTTCACATGGCCCCACTTCCGGCCTCTTTTTCCCCTAAGAGTGATTTGTCCCTGGGAGATCCTGGGTCTCTCATTCAGGTGCAATGTTGCAGAGCAACGCTTCTTCCCAGGCTGACCCAGGCCTGCAGGGTCCCACTGTCACTGGCAGGCTTTGCCCCAGCTTCCACCCAAGCCCCGCTCCTCCTCTCCCACAGGGAACGAGACACCCTCTTCTCTTTCTCGGGATACCCCCACCTGCAGAGGGACCAGCCCATTTGCTGGAGCCACTGAATTCTGAGGTGAGCCGGGTGAGGTGCAGGGGCTATGCTGGAGGGGAGGACCATGGCTGCCCTGACCCTCCTGCCACTAGCTTCCCACAGCCACACCGTGGTGCTGACCCGAGACTCTGAGCGGTTGCTGGAGATAATGGAAGCGGATCCGTGTCCTGCCCTGGGGAGGTGAGTGAGTGTCCTGCACCCAGGCAACTTGGTGCTTGGGGATAAGTGTGTACCCAAGGCAACTGGGCCAGGGAAGAGGCTGAGCTCCAGGCGGTTGCCCTGGCAACCAGGACTGGGTTTTGTGTGTGTGTGTTTGTGTGTGTATTTCGGGCAATCTCCTGGGTGTGGACCAAGAGCTGCTCCAAGCAGGTGAGATGCCCTGCCGCTCCTCCCCAGGGAGAGTCACTGTCAGCACCCGCCAGGACCTGCAGACACACATGAGACCAGAGGGCAGGGGCCTGTGGCCCCTGGTGAAACCTCATTCATTGCCTGCAGGCACTGAGGTCATCCAGGCCAGAGGTCCCCATGGCAGGGGTGCCTGGTAATGAGAGACTCAGGGCTCTTGTCTCCCTCCTGGGACTGTGCAAAAGATCCCTCCCCCCAGCTCCACCCTGCCCTGATCCTCTTCTCTGATCCTCTTTCCAGGGGGAGGGACCTGGGCAACCTGGTTGGGGAAGAGGTGGTCACTCCCTGTGCTACAGCCCATCCCCGCTTCCTCCCACCCCCACAACTCAACTCTGGGGCCATGACTCTAAGCAGCACGGATGCCACCAGTGAGCGTGACTGTGGGTGAGTATTGGGGAGAGAGTCCCCTGCCCTGTGCCTCACTTTTGTCCCCGAGTCTGGCTTCTCTCTAGTTTCCTCCCACTTTTGTATGTTCAGGCTGGCTGTGGTGATGGTTGTACATTAAAGTGTAAACTTTAAATGGGTAAATTGGGCAGGGAACGGTGGCTGACGCCTGTAATCCCAGCACTGGCCAACATGGTGAATCCCCGTCTCTACTAAGAATACAAAATTTAGCCTGGTGTGGTGGCGGGTGCCTGTAATCCCAGCTATTTGGAAGGCTGAGGCAGGAGAATTGCTTGAACCGGGGACGCCAAGGCTGCAGTGAGCCAAGATCACGCTAATGCACTCCAGCCTGGGCAACAAGAGTGAAACTCCATCTCAAAAAATAAAATAAAAATAAATAAATAAGACCAGGCACGGTGGCCCACGCCTGTAATCCTAGCACTTTGGGAGGCCGAGGTGGGGGGATTGCCTGAGCTCAGGAGTTCAAGACCAGCCTGGACAACACAGTGAAACCTCATCTCTACTAAGATTAAAAAAAAAAAAAATTAGCTGGGCGTGGCAGTGTGCGCCTGGGGAGGCTGAGGCAGGAGAATTGCTTGAACTGGGAGGCAGAGGTTATGGTGAGCCAAGATCGCGCCACTGCACTTCAGCTTAGGGGATAGAGCAAGACTCCATCTCAGAAAAAATAAAAATAAAATTACAAATAAATAAATAAATGGGTAATTTGTGTATGAGTGGTATCTCAGTAAAGCTGGTTTATTTAAAACAACAACAATAACAGAAAACAGGCTAGGTGTAGTGGCTCACATTTGTAATCCCAGCACTTTGGGAGGCCAAGGCAGGAAGATTACTTGAGCCCAGGAGTTTCAGACCAGCCTGGGTGACATAGCAAGATCCCATCTTTACAACAAATGAAAATTTAGGTTGGGTGCAGTGACTCACGCCTCTCATCCTAGCACTTTGGGAGGCTGAGTCGGGCAGATCAAGAGGTCAGGAGATCGAGACCATCCTGGCCAACATGGTGAAACCCTGTCTCTACTAAAAATAGAAAAATTAGCTGGACATGGTGGTGAGCACCTGTAGTCCCAGCTACTCAGGAGGCTGAGGCAGGAGAATTGCTTGAACCTGGGAGGTGGAGACTGCAGTGAGCTGAGATCACACCACTGCTCTCCAGCCTGGCGACTAAACATGACTTTGTCTACCACAAAAAACAGAAGATAATGTAGCCGGGTCCCCCAACTGCCTAACCTCCTCCTACTCCCTGTGTGGGTGGGGATGGGAGAGGCCTGGTGACTGGGAACCTTTTCTCTTTCCCAGTTAAGTTCCTGTTCTGGGCTTCGCTGTGCATGACCCATCTCAGCAGGATGGCCAAGGACCTCATCCTCTACGGCACCAAGGAATTCAGCTTCGTGCAGCTCTCAGATGCCTATAGGTAAGCTCTGAGCTGGGAAGCCCTGAGCTGCCACCTCCTGCCCCTCCTGGCCTCTGTATTCCCCACCCACCACGTGCGGCTTCCTTCTTCTCCGCCCCACCTCTCTGCTGGATCTGGCCAGTGCCCTGCTGGACCAGCCAAGGGCCAGACACTTCAGTGTCCACACCTCTGTCCCCAGCACCGGAAGCAGCCTGATACTCCAGAAGAAAAACCACCGTGGGGCATATGTTTGGGCGGGTGAGCAGGGCAGGGAGAGGGGCGGGCTCTCTGTGCTTATAGGGGTTGGCGGCCAGGAGGCAGGATCCTGGGTCCAGCTCCTGTCCCTCCCTCTTCCCGTAGTGTACCAGGCTCCTGATAACCCTCAAGGGACTTCTGGCACCTACAACAAAGACTTACAGGTGTGAGGCCGGTGGACGCCCGCTGCCTACATACCACGTGCCAGTTCTTGGGGCTCTGGCACACCCAGGCAGGGAGGGGTCCCCCAGGATTGCCAAACATCCTCCCATCCTGTGCACACAGCCCCATCCGTGGCTGCTCTTGGAGCTCTCTGCCCTTCCTTTCTTGGGGTACTGTGTTCTTCCCATGGAAGGCAGTGAGGATGCCTCAGTGGGGGTGGGGCTGTGAAGACCCTGGGTGCCAGGGGGATACTAGGCCCTCACCTGCTGCCATGTGCCTCCCAGGACAAGGAAGCTGTGTTTGATGTGTCAGATACTGTGAGTGCCGTGTTCCAGGTGGCCACTGGCGTCATCTGTACGCTGCAGGCAAGACACTACCCACCTGCCTCTCCTCCCCTAAGTCCCAGGCACTGGAGTGGGCATGCCAGGAGGGTGGCCTTGGGAGGAGGTGAGGTGGGGCTGGAGGACCTGGGGCAGGGAAAGGAGAGGTGTGCTCACTCCTGCTCCTGGGGAACAGGGAAGGGACAGAAACTGCTGCCACACAATGGAAGTAGATGAGACTCAAGGGGCCTGGGG